GATGCAAATAACAGGAGATCATCAACAGTAAACCTGCACACTTAAAGGTACATAATCCTCAATCATATGTCTCTAAGAAAATAAAACTTTTTCCTTTTAATAATATAAAGCGTATTACTGCCATACCACAGAATCCTAAAGAGCAGGCAGTTAAAGGAATATGAAATAAATCTCTAAGGGATAAGTTAAGTACTCAAGAAGGGATAATAAAGGTACCCCCAAATAGATTGCATAATGTTCTTTTAACTTTGAATTTTCTAAATGCTAATGAATAAAGAATAACAATTATGTAGAGATATGGGATAGTAGAAAAAAACCCTACAGGTTTAAATCTGTTGATATAACTAAAAGTTGTACTGACCTAAAAATGGAAATCAGGACATGTGTTACATTGGGGAAGTGGTTTTGCTTTCTTTACCAGAGGAGAAGAAAAGATATGGATTCTGCCAAAACTGATAAAGATGTGATTTGAACAAGAGAGAACATTTAATTAGAAGAAATGATAGTTCATCAAACAGTATGGTCATTTGCTCTAAACTAATGTATAAAACTAACAAAAGATTTTCATTTGATCAAAAATAACTTTAAAAAACTCCCCAAAAGTATGTGTTGTGGGAAAGTTTGATCTTGTTAATTTATGTGAATAAAGTCACCTAGCTAAGTAATCTGAAGACCACTGAACAAATGAGATATCTAAAGAAAAAGGGCAAAGCATCCAGAAAAAATTTTGCCAAGAAACAGTGTAAATTTTAATAGAATAAAATTTCATAAGTATTCCAAATGTTTGTTTCTGTTATTATCTACAGATATTTAATGCAAATGGTCTATTTGGAGTCCTTGTCCTGTTGAAGATTAAGCTGGTTTTGGAGTTAAATTGTGGCTCTCTTTTTTTCTATAAACCCAAGCATAATTACTAAAGTAATATTCAAAATCTCTTTCTCATGAGAGAAGAACCACCTATTATGAAATAAAAGAAAACCAAATATTTAAGGAATACTTTATTGTCACTAATCTCATAATATTTTTGTTTTATTTTGATTCATTAATAGCTTTTCTTAAGGTAAAAATATTGTTTCAAAATTATGAGATTAACATATCTCTATCTATCTATAGCTATATATCTATCTATTAGCTATATATTTTGTCATGTTATTAATGGTCACATAGACTACTAACTACTCCAGAAAAAAGTTTCATCTTCTGGCTTTTACATGACTTTGTATACTTCCAATATCCAGGAAGATAACTACATATTTTTTTCCTATGGGTTCACCTTCTTAATTAGTTTCTCTAGGATTACCAACTATAGGCTCAATGTCCTTTGTTTATGGCTAGAATCCACTAATGAGTGAGTACATACTATATTCATCTTTTTGGGTCTGGGTTACCTCCCTCAGGAGAGTGTTCTCTATTTCCATCCATTTGCATGCAAAATTAAAGATGTCATTGTTTTTTTTTTACCACTGAGTAGTACTCTAATGCTTATATATTCCACACTTTCTTCATCCATTCTTCCATTGAAGGGCATCTAGGTTGTTTCCAGGTTCTGGCTATTACAAATAATGGTGCTATGAACATAGTAGAACAAATGCTTTTGTAGTATGGTAGGGCATCTCTTGGGAATATACCCAAGAGAGGTATTGCTGGATCATTGTACTTATTGTATATAACTTTTTGTCAAATTAGTTATAGCTTTCTTTTTATTTTAGGTAAAAAGGAAATGTAATAATATTTCATTTATATCTTAATAAATAAAGGTTGCCTGAAGATCATAGAGTAAAACCATGACCTGGTCAGCCTCACAGACCAGGCAGTAGTGACGCACATTTTTAATCCCATTAGCCACACTAGTTTGCCACAGACACTGGGCAGTATTGGTGCACACATTTAACTTGAGAACTAAAGAGCAATATAAGATTTGAGGAGAGGCAACAAGATCTGCCAGCTCAGCCTTTTTGGGCACTAGGAGGGGGTGCCAAGAGAAATGGGGCCAGTGGGAATTGATTTGCTTCAATAACCTGTCTACAGCAAGGTAGACCCTTTCTTAGCGAGGTTCCTGGCCACCAAGGTAACCTAATCCTGTTCCGGGGGACCCAACGGAGTGGTTGATGAGTGTGCTCTTGACCCATAGCAGGAGCCCAGAAACAGAGCAGAGACATTCCCTGACCCCCTTCACTCCCTAGTCATCCAGTGGGAGCTGCTCCCCTATGCTGGGGCCTCTCTCTCCCTAACCCATCCCAGTTTGCACCCAGGAACCACCTCCCTTCTTCCTCCCTCCTGCAGGACCATGGGATCCTCCAATTCAGCCTGTTTGGGTGCTGGGATGGCGTGCTGAGGGCAATGGGCCTGAGAGAATTGTTTTGTTTCAATAGCCTGTTTGCAGCAAGATTAACAAAGGCCCTTAGTTAACGAGTTTCTTGGCCACCAAGGGAACCTGATCCTGTTCCAGAAGATCCATAGGATAGCATTTGAAGGAAGAGATGGTAAGAATTACTCCACCAATATGAAAAACAACATGAAAACACCAGAACCCAGTGATCAGACAACAGAAGGTCTTGAACACCCTAATCCAGAAGAAGGGGGAAAAGTGGCATTATGAAAGCAATAGAGTCCCTTAAACAGCATGTAAAAAATGCCCTTAGAGAAATGGATAAGAAGTATAACAAAAAGTTTGAAGAAATGAAAAAATACGTAAATGATACCCTGGGAAACCAAAAGAAAAAAAAAGCAATCAAACAGGTAATGAAAACAGTTCAAGAATTGAAAACTGAAATGGAGGCAAGGAAGAAAACACAAACCAAGGGCCGACTGGATATGGAAAATCTAGGGCAATAAACAGAGCCTATAGAAACAAGCATAATCAATAGAATACAAGAGATTGAAGAAAGAATGTCAGACTCTGAAGACACCATTGGGAAAATAAACGCAATAATCAAAGAAAACAGCAAATCCAACAAATTCTCATCACAAACATTCAGGAAATATTGGACACCATAAAAAGACCAAACCTAAGAATAATAGGGATAGAAGAAGGAGAAGAATTACAGCTGAAAGGCTCAGAAAATTTATTTAACAAAATTATGGAAGAAAACTTTCCCACATAAAGAAAGATATTACTATGAATATTCAAGAAGAATACAGAATATCAAATAGGCTGGATCAAAAAAACATCCCTTCATCATATAATAATCAAAACACAAAAACATACAAATTAAGGAAAGAATATTAAGAGCTGAAAAAAAAAGGGTCAAGTTACTTATAAAGGTAAACCTATCAGAATACACCAGACTTCTCTATGGAAACAATGAAAGCCAATGGTCCTGGATAGAGGTACTTCAGAAACTAAGAGAACATGGATGCAAGCCCAGACTACTATACCCAGCCAAGTTTTCATCCACTATAAATGGAGAAAACAAAATTTTCCAGGATAAAAACAAATTTGAACAATACGTAGCCACAAATCCAGACTTACAGAAAGAATTAGAAGGAAAATCACTAACCAAGGAGTTCAACAATGACCACAATAACTCAGACATTGAGAGACCCTTCACCAGAGCAATTCAAAGAAGGGAAACACACAAACTCTACTACTAAAAGTGACCCGAGTTAACAACCACTGGGCATTAATATCACTTAATGTCAATGGACTCAACTCACCGATAAAAAGGCAGAGGCTAAGAGATTGGATACAAAAACAGAATCCAACATTCTGCTGTTTACAAGAAAAACACCTCAACCACAAAGACAGGCACCTACTCAGAGTAAAGGGCTGGGAAAAGGCTTATCAAGCAAATGGACCTAAGAAACAAGCAGGTGTGGCCATACTAATTTCTAACAAAGTTGACTTCAAACTTAAATCAATCAGAAGAGATGGAGAGGGACATTTTATACTCATAACAGGAACTATTCTTGAGGAAGAAGTCTCAATCCTGAATATCTATGCCCCTAATATAAAAGCACCCACGTACATAAAAGAAACATTACTAAAACTCAAGGATGCCATCAAACCGCACACACTAATAGTAGGAGACTTCAACACTCCTCTCTCACCAATGGACAGGTCAATCAGACAGAAACCTAACAGAGAAATAAGAGAATTAATGGAGGTAATGAAGCAAATGGACTTAACAGACATCTATAGAACATTCCACCCAAATAGGAAAGAATATCCCTTCTTCTCTGAAGCTCATGGAACCTTCTCAAATATTGACCACATACTTGGTAACAAAACAAACTTCAACAGTTACAAAAAAATATTAGTAACCACCTGTGTCTTATCAGATCACCATGGATTAAAGTTAGAATTCAACAACAATGCTACCCCCAGAAAGCCTACAAACTCATGGAAACTGAACAGTCAACTACTGAACCACACCTGGATCAAGGAAGAAATAAAGAAAGAAATTAAAGTCTTCCTTGAATTCAATGAAAATAAAGAAACAACATACTCGAACTTTTGGGACGCTATGAAAGCAGGCCAAAAAAAAAAAGTTCTTAGCACTAAGTGCCCACTTAAAGAAAACAGAAAAAGCTCACATTGGAGACTTTTCAGCCCACCGGAAAGCTCTAGAAAAAAAGAAGCAGACTCACATAGGAGTAGAAGATTGGAAATAATCAAAGTGAGGGCTGAAATCAACAAAATAGAAACACAGAAACCAATCCAAAGAATCAATGAAACAAAAAGCTGGTTTCTGGAGAAAATCAACAAGATTGATAAACCCCTATCCAAACTAATCAAACAGCAGAGAGAGAATACACAAATTAATAAGATCAGAAATGAAAAGGGGGACATAACCACAGACACAGAGGAAATTCAGAGAATCATTAGATCTTAACAAAAGACTGTATGCCACAGAACTGGAAAATGTAAAAGAAATGGACACGTTTTTAGATAAATACCATATACCAAAGTTAAACCAGGTGAACAATCTAAATAGACCTGTTAGTCACGAAGAATTAGAAGCTGTTATCAAAAACTCCCTACCAAGCTTTTCGTCAAGATGGCGCCGAAAGCGAAGAAGGAAGCTCCTGCCCCTCCCAAAGCCGAAGCTAAAGCGAAGGCCTTGAAAGCCAAGAAGGCAATGCTGAAAGGCGTCCACAGCCACAAAAAGAAGAAGATCCGCACATCGCCCACCTTTCAGCGTCCCAAGACCCTGCGGCTACGAAGGCAGCCTAAATACCCCCGGAAGAGCGCGCCCAGGAGGAACAAGCTTGACCACTATGCCATCATCAAATTCCCCCTGACCACCGAGTCAGCCATGAAGAAGATAGAAGACAACAACACACTTGTGTTCATTGTGGACGTCAAGGCCAACAAGCACCAGATCAAACAGGCTGTGAAGAAACTCTATGACATCGATGTGGCCAAAGTCAACACCCTCATAAGGCCCGATGGAGAGAAGAAGGTGTATGTTCGGTTGGCTCCTGATTATGATGCTCTGGATGTTGCCAACAAGATTGGAATCATCTAAACTGAGCCCAGCCAGCTAATTCTAAATATACACTTTTTCACCATAAAAAAAAAAACTCCCTACCAAAACAAGCCCAGGACCAGATGGTTTCAATGCGGAGTTCTACCAGAACTTCCAAGAAGACCTAATACCTATACTCCTTAATGTATTCCACAAGATAGAGACAGAAGAGCCATGCAAAATTCCTTTTATGAAGCTACAGTCACTCTGATACCAAAACCACACAAAGACTCAACCAAGAAAGAGAATTACAGACCTATCTCACTCATGAACATCGACGCAAAAATCCTCAACAAAATACTGGCAAACCGAATCCAAGAACACATTAGAAAAATTATCCATTATGATCAAGTAGGCTTTATCCCAGAGATGCAGGGCTGGTTCAACATACAAAAATCTATCAATGTAATCCATCATATAAATAAACTGAAAGAAAAAAACCATATGATCATTTCATTAGATGATGAAAAAGCATTCCACAAAATTCAACATCCCTTTATGATAAAAGTCTTGGAGATATTAGGGATACAACACCATACCTAAATACAATAAGAGCTATTTACAGCAAGCTGACAGCTAACATCAAATTAAACGGAGAGAAAATCAAAGACATCCCACTAAAATTGGGAATACGACAGGGCTGTCCACTCTCGCCATACCTCTTCAATATAGTGTTTGAAATTTTAGCAATAGCAATAAGACAACATAAGGGGTCAAGGGGATTCGAATTGGAAAGGAAGAAGTTAAACTTTCATTATTTGCAGATGATATGATAGTGTACATAAGTGACCCCAAAACTCTACCAAAGAACTCCTACATCTGATAAACACCTTTAGTAATGTGTCAGGATACAAGATTAACTCCAAAAAATCAATCGCCTTCCTATACACAAAGGATATGGAAACAGAGAGGGAAACCAGAGAAATATCACCATTCATGATAGTCTCAAACAGCATAAAATATCTTGGGGTAACTCTAACCAAGGAAGTGAAAGATCTATTTGACAAGAACGTTAAGGCATTGAAGAAAGAAATTGAAGAGGATACCAGAAAATGGAAGGAACTCCCTTGCTCTTGGATTGGGAGGATCAACATAGTAAAAATGGCAATTCTACCAAAGGCAATTTATAGATTCAATGTAATCCCCATCAAGGTCCCATCAAAATTCTTCACAGATCTTGAGAGGACAATAATCAACTTTATATGGAAAAACAAAAAACCCAGGATAGCCAAAACAATCCTATACAATAAAGGATTGTCTGGAGGCATTACTATCCCTGACTTCATTATAGAGCTACAGTAATGAAAACAGTGTGCTATTGACATGAAAACATAGACGTCGACCAATGGAATCGTATAGAAGACCCGGATTTTAGCCCACAAACCCATGAAAACCTGATTTTTGATAAAGGAGGTAAAAGCATAAATGGAAGAAAGAAAGCATCTTCCACAAATGGTGCTGGCACAACTGGATGTCACCCCAATGTTGGCTCTCCTGGCGCAGAGATCAGGTCTCCGTGCTGGTAGGGTAGCTCGTAAATAAAGCACCTACCTTGCTTGGTGCAGGCAGGCTATTGAAACAAATGAACTCCCACCCGCCTGGTTGCCCTGAGGATTCGGACCCAGCACTAGAGGGCAGGGGGGGCAGAAGGGTGTAGGGTTCTGAATGCAAGCTGGGTGGGATAGGAAGAAAGAGGCAGTATGCAGGGAGTAGAGGCCTGCAGAGAGCCCAAGAAGGATTGGGGGTTGAGGAACTTCTGAGTTCCCTGTCCCAGGCTGCTGCCATGGGGTCAGAAACTCACCCCAATGCTGGCTCTCCTGGCGCCCTGTCACAGACTTTTTTAAAAAGACTATAATGGACATGGGAAGGGGAAATCAATTCTACATACAACCAGAGTTAGTTTACCCTATACTGTTCTTAATGAGTGTTTATGGTAGCATGTTTAGTCCAAGACAAGCCAGCACATTTCCATTTGTTTCTACATTTCTGAAGCCTTAAAAGTGGGTGAGGGAGCAACTGGTATGTTAAAAGTTTAGCATGCCATGAACGGGTTTTTATTGGTTTTTTTAAAAAAAACATATCAATCTAAATTCCCACTCACTCCTCTCCTCCCATTCACTTCACACACCCTCTCATCCCATCCCCTCCAGTCCTCAGAGAGAGTAAGGTACATTGCTTTGTGGAAAGTCCTAGTCTTTCCATACTACATCTAGGCTGAGCAAGGTATCCATCCAAAGAGAATAGGATCCCAAAAAGCCAGTACATGCAGTAGCAATAAATCCCAGTCCCACTGCCAGTGGCCCCTTAGTCTATCCCAGTCATACAACTGTCACCCACATTTAGAGGGACTAGTTTGGTCCTATGCTTGTTCCTTCTCAGTACAGTTGAGTTGGTGAGCTCCCAATAGCTCAGGTAACTGTTTCAGTGAATGAAGCCTTCATGGTCTTGACCTCTTTGCTCATATTCTCATTCCTCCCACTCTTCAACTGGAACTTGGGAGCTCAGTCCAGTGCTCTGATGTGGGTCTCTGCCTCTATTTCCGTCTGTTGATGGATAAAGGTTCTATGTTGATATTTAAGATAATCATCAGTCTAACTATAGGGCAAGGCCAGTTTGGGCACTTTCTCCTCTATTGCTTACAGTCTTAGCTGGGGTCATCCTTGTGGATTCCTGGGATTTTTTCTAGAGTTAGGTTTTTTGCTAGCCCCATAATGGCTCCCTCAATCAAGATAGCTCTTTCCTTGCTCTCATACCTGTCCTTCCTCCATCTCGACTATCCTATCTCCTCAAGTTCTCCTCAACCCTCTTCTTCTCTCCTCCTTTTCCTCTTATTCCCTTCCTTCTACTCCCCACCCCTATGGTCCCAATTTTTTCAGGAGATTTTGTCAGTTTCCAATTTCCAGGTGGATCTATATATGGTTTTCACTGGATTCACCTTATTACATAGCTTCTCTAGGATCATGAACTACAGGCTCAATGTTTTATATTTATAGTTAGTATCCACTTCTGAGTGAGTACATACCACATTCATTTTGGCGGGTCTGGGTTACCTCACTCAGGAGGAGTGTTTTCTAACTCCAACCATTTGGATGCAAATTCAAAATGTCATTGTTTTCCCTTCAGTTCTGCCTGTCCCAGCCCTGGATGTAGGTTTTTGTTGTAGAGTGTCTCATATCATCCCTGTGCATCTTTAAGAAAAATCAGTGAAATGCCACAGTTACCAGATAATCATGATCTCCTATCAGAGAATTGTTTTACCTTCAAGTAACAGCTCCCAGGAGAAACAAGTGTGCACAAGGTGTACCTATACATTCTTCATCTTATCACAGCCACTTCATTTAAAAATGGTTTATGGGTCACACACTACAATATGCATCTTTATGTGTAAATTTTGATGAGTTTTAGTTCATTCAGAGCAATGACCACTAACCAGTCTCAGGGTACTTCAAATATCACCACATAAAGAAACCCATATCCATTAGCACTCACTATCTAACCATTCTTCCTCCTCAGCCTTGTTCTGTTCCTACAGTTTTATCAATTTTGGACATTTTAAGCAATGTTTTCATATAATATATGTGTTGGGTTTGACTTGTCTCACCATGTTTCCAAGGGTCACTCATAACTAATATTAGTACCTCATTTATTTTCATGACCTGTTCCATTATATGCATGTAGCACATTCTGCTTATCCACTCAGTGATGTGCATAGGAATTAGGGTACCTCCAACCTTTTGATTATTTAAAGGAATGATGTAATAAGTACACATGTACAAGTTTGTGTGTATGTTTTTAATTCTCTTGGGAATATTCCTAGGAAAGAATTTGTTAGAGCACATAATAAGACATTTACAATTTTAAGGAACTGGGACCTGGTAAGATAGATAGCTCAGTTTATTAAAAAACTATTTATATGGAGGGCATGAGGAAGGAGCTTAATTTATTACCCAGATCCATGTAAAAAGTCGCTTGTGGTACCCTGTCCCTGTGATCTCAGAGAGGAGACACAAAAGAACCCCTGGAGCTCCAGGCAAGAATGAGACCTCATCTGAAAACCTGGGGCTTGGTAGCTGAGAGATAACACTTATGGTTGACTTCTGGACTCTGTGTGTACACAGATGAGTATACAAAATGCACATGTAAATGAAAATAAAAATACTTTTGAAGAATGGAAAAACTTTCCCATAATGTCTACACCATTTGCTACCTTGATAGGAAAAAAAAATGAGGATTTTATTCTTCTAATTCTTGTCTATAGTCATTTTTATCTGTGCAATCTCAGAAATGGGAAATAGTATTTCTCTGTGATTTTGATTCTGTAATCCAACAACAGGGAAAGAAGATAAGAAGGCTTCATTTATAATCCCAAGCACTCAGAAATTAGACCTTTGTGTTCTGTTTTCTGTTTTTAATTCCAGCTTCTTTTTTTATTTTTTTATTGAGAAAAGGAGAAAAAAAAGTTTTCACCTCCTCCCAGCCTCCCATTTCCCTCCCACTCCTCCCAACCTACACCCCCTCCTCCTACCCTTCTCTTCCTCACCCCACTCCGTTCCCTCTCCCTCTCCAGTCCAAAGAGCAGTCAGGGTTTCCTGCCCTGTAGTAAGTCCTAGGTCCTCCCCCCTCCGTCCATATCTAGGAAGGTGAACATCCAAACTGGCTAGGCTCCCACCAAGCCAGCACATTAAGCAGGATCAAACCCCCGTGCCATTGTCCTTTGCGTCTCATCAGCCCTCATTGTTCGCCATGTTCAGAGAGTCCAGTTTTATCCCATGCTTATTCAGTCACAGTCCAGCTGGCCTTGGTGAGCTCCCATTAGATCAGCTCCACTGTCTCAGTGGGTGGGTGCTAACCTCGTGGTCCCGACTTCTTTGCTCATGTTCTCCCTCTTTCTGCTCCTCATTGGGACCTTGGGAGCTCAGTCCAGTGCTCCAGTGTGGGTCTCTGTCTCTATCTCCATCCATCACCAGATGAAGGTTCTATGGTGATATGCAAGATATTCGACAGTATTAATATAG